TTTTAAATTTTAAATTAAAAAAAAAAAAAAGAAAACTGCAAACCTACAGAGGGAAAACAACAACAACAACAACAACAACAACAACAACAACAACAACAACAAAACCAAACAAACTTCTTCTTGGTTTTAATAGGTTGAAGCTATGTGACCCAACTAGTCTTCACTTTTTTTTTTTAAGTTTTAGTTTAACTACAGTCTAGTTTAAGGTCATGCTTTTATTCACTAAGAATGCTAGATATGGGGTGACCAACCATCTGGTTTGTTCAGGAATGTTACAGTTTTATTTTATTCATCTTTAAATAATTTTTTTATTGTTCATTTATTTTTCAGAGGGAGAGAAAGAAAGAGAGAGAGCAGAGGAGGGGCAGAGAGAGAGAGGGAGACACAGAATCCGAAGCAGGCTCCAGGCTCTGAGCTGTCAGCACAGAGCCCGATGCAGGGCTTGAACTCATAAACCGCGAGATCATGACCTGAGCTGAAGTCAAACACTAAACTGACTGAGCCACCCAGGCGCCCCTAGACCTCATTTTTAAAACAGTTTTAGGTTCACAGCAAAATTGGGTGGAAAGTTCAGAGTTCCCATATATCCTCCACCTGTGCATAGCGCCCCCTATCTCCAACATCCTCACCCCTCAGAATGGTGTGCTTGTTAAGGTCAATGAATCTACACTGACTCATTATTATCACCCAGAGTCCACAGATGACATCAGGATTCACTCTTGGTGTTGGACATTCTACGGGTTGGATGAGTGTATAATGGCATGCATTAACTATATACTATTACACGAATTAGTCTCACTAAAAATCCTCTGTGTTTTTCCTATTCTTCCTTTTATTTTTTTAAAAAAATTTTTTAATGTTTATTATTTTTTGAGAGAGAGATTGACAGAGTGTGAGCAGGGGAGGGGCAGAGAGAGAGGGAGACACAGAATCTGAAGCAGACTCCGAGCTGTCAGCAGAGAGCCCGACGAGGGCTCAAACTCACAAGCCGTGAGATCATGAGCCGAGCCAAACTCCCAGGCGCCCCAAAGCATGTTGCAGTTTTAGACTTGAAAATCCAACATCCCAGGAAACCCCTGAGTCCCTGGTAAACCAGAGCAATTGGTGCCCCTCCAGCTAGATCTCAAATTCTAAAAGGTGTTTCAAAGGTACCAGGCCAGAATTTGGCTTGTTTCGCATTGACTTTGAACTTTTTAGGTGAGGCCAGTACCCTCCCGCCAGCCTGCCTGTTTTTACCTCTGACTGCTTTACATATACGTATTATGTGCCTGCTCTTTCTAGGCATTAGCAGTCTGTGTCCAGGAAGTCTTAAACCTGTGGGTTTTGGTAGGACATAT